AGATCTCTCCATTCTTTGTAAGTGGGAAAACTTGAAAAATTAGCAGTGTATAAAATACTTATTTGCCCCACTGTATATGTGCAGGAGCAAACTCAAAAGTCAGCTGACGCTGTGTTTATTTAGAACAGAGAGCATACCTGTGTTGTATTGTTTATCATAATGGTACTTGTGCTTATCCCTAAAAATCCCTTAAAAATCTTACTGACCCCAAAATCTTGAACGATAGTGTATTTTCTATTTTATTTTCCCATTTTATTGATATCCAGTAGGGCTGGGTTTTGACACAAATTTCACGATTCGATTCTCATTCACAAGCTTTCGATTTGATTACCGATTCGATTCGATGCAATATCGATTATTTTGGATATATCAGGTACAGTACATGCCAAATTTCTCAAGGAAAAAAAAATCTCTCAACTAATGCTGTAAATTATACATGAGAGTCAGTTGGTACTAGGGCTGCACAATAAATTGCATGCGACTACACAGAGCCGTTGTTCACTGACGAGCAGCACAAAAAAATCATGCGAATATGAACGTGGTTTTGCGCAGCTCGTCAGTAACTACACAGAGACGTTGTTCACTGACGAGCAGCACAAAAAAATCATGCGAATATGAACGTGGTTTTGCGCAGCTCGTCAGTAACTACACAGAGACGTTGTTCACTGACGAGCAGCACAAAAAAATCATGCGAATATGAACGTGGTTTTGCGCAGCTCGTCAGTAACTACACAGAGACGTTGTTCACTGACGAGCAGCACAAAAAAATCATGCGAATATGAACGTGGTTTTGCGCAGCTCGTCAGTAACTACACAGAGACGTTGTTCACTGACGAGCAGCACAAAAAAATCATGCGAATATGAACGTGGTTTTGCGCAGCTCGTCAGTGAACAACGTCTCTGTGTAGTTACTGCTGCTCAATGTGAAAACCCGCAGGTGATGGAGATTTACCGCTGATTACAGAACCGGCTTTCTGACAAGATGCATGTTAAATATCGCATGCGATTTATCGTGCAGCCCTAGTTGGTACTACATTACTATAATATTGAAGGTTAAAATTGACTGATTTGTTAAAATTACACTTAATGAAGTTTTAAAAATAATAACGTTACAATTACATACCGGTAATAATATTTCTACTTCAATTCGTTTTTTTATATAAAACTAATGGTGGCTGTCATAAAAACTTGATGGATTTATTCAAACATAAATTAAACATTGAAGAACAGTAGAATTTATAATGAATATGTTATATGGTGCATATATTTAGCAAAATGCCCCTCTCTACAGTTTATTTTTCTATCTGACTAATAAGTTTATGGTTACCGAATATGTTTTTCTGAGGTAAATGTGACGTTACGTGACATTGATTTCAAGCCGTTATATTGACGTCTTTGCGCAGCTGAAACACAGATTGAGCGATTACATGAGACAGGATACGGCTTTTAAAGTTATACTCTTTCTTTTAACTTACCTTCGGATGTTTAGTCATTTATTTTGTGCTGAAGCTGGTATTAATGTGGAGGAGATGATCGTTGGCATTTATTGTTTGAATACTGCAATAAAATGAAAATAATTTGAAATCTGAGACTTTATTTCATATTAAAAGTACCAAAGCACAATGCTTATTGTGATATATTGGATGGGAAGTACCCTTCAATGTTCCGTCCATTAACTGAAAACAATCTAGAATAATCAATTATTGGGATTTAAGAATCAATATCGTTCCGTAAAAATTAGAACTGATTAATATCGAAATTTTTACCCAGCCCTAATATCCAGCAGGCATTACATTGTTCATGAATTCTTCAGTAAGATATACATGAACTGATCATTCTGTTCTTGCCCTTGGTTTGACTTGCCTAAAACGTCTATGTTCATTGGCTTACTGCAGTCCATCAGTCTTCTTCTGTTAAGACTGCGACGCCAGCTGCTGTAATTGGTATGAAGATGTGTCTTGGGTTTTTGGGCTTTTAAGTGTCTGTAGGGGGATTCAAATGGTGGAACACTTTGAATGTAGTTGCTACACTTTAGTTTATGGAACAGTTTCAGTCTGGTCCCGTTTCTGCTGATACATCTCACTCTCTACTTACCATCTGCTCACTGAAGTCTAGTCAGTATAGACAATGAGAGGTATCAGCTAAGAAATACACATGTAACATGGTTGCTGACTGTCACTGAAAAGTTGAGCTTGTTGCAGTCATTCTAGTAAATTGGACGTTTAAATGATTTTTAAAAGTCACAACATTAAATAGTTTTAAGTGTGAGCTAACCCACCCACATGGAAAGTGCTAGACTGAAACTTTTCAGAGAAGGGAACGTGATGGGTCTGATATGATTTTAGACTGTTCATGGTTATGTTCATGGACCGGCATAAAAGCTGCATGAAATGGTCTTCACAACCCATCTTGCTTTCATAATCTGACATGTTTCCAAATTAAACTGCATATTCAAGGAGAAAAACAAGGTGTGCTTGACTTAATTCATTCAGAATTGATTAAATTGTGAAAAGTGAGCATCACCATACCAGAAGTAAATGGGTCCATTATGATTTCATGTTGATTTTATTGCCAGCTTGTTGCTTTCACTTCACTGCAGTACAATACTTTATTTTCAATGCACTTCGGTGCATTTCAATAACAGGTCCAGTGATGTTCTGTTATACTGTCAGAATGTTATTAAGTGCTTATCGCTATTTCCTGTATTTCAGACTAATTTGTTGGTCTCTTACTACTTATTGCTTATTCCTAACAGCACCACAGAGAGCAGCTGTTGCCAAGGTAACACCCAAGATGGCGCCTAGCTCTGCTAGGAGACCTGGTGCTGGTGGGGATGAGGAAAGGGCGGAGCTTATTCAAGAGGTTTGTTATACTGTGTACACTCACATTGTATTAAGGTGCGGTCACAATTTTTGTGAGCAAAATCAAGTTGTTTAAATAGGAATCCATACAATCAGGAATTGTGCAGGGGTAAAAAGATTTCCCCATTTAAAAATTGTATATTCTATTTAATAGCGTGAAACGGACACAGGCGCTTAACTTGCTCTTTAAAGTATGTCTAGTGTCTGCACTATTTTTCTCCAGAAGTTAAGAGCAATGAAATGTTATACTTGTTTAAACTAGAGTTTCGGGTATCTTTTAAACCCATCATTTGCACTTGTCAACATGCATACAGTACAAGTAGGACATTTTGTCATCAGCATAGTACTTGGTATGCAAACGTAGGCATAAAACCTAAGTATGCTTTGGGCTTTATGACTAAAATGTTTATTTGGTGGCTTTCAGTTAAACATCTTGAAGTCTACGATCCAGGACATGGAGAAGGAGCGGGACTTTTACTTTGGCAAACTGAGGAACATTGAGCTGATCTGTCAAGAGAAGGAGGGTGAGGGAGACCCCACCCTGCAGAAGATTGTGGATATTCTCTATGCCACAGACGTGAGTCAACATAGACCATATTAGTAATTAACAGTGTTACCACACTTATTGACCAATGAATTCCATGACCTTTTCATATATTAATATATATGGTTATGATCCCTGGCCAATTTGGTATAATTTTAGAATGAAAATTCTTCCACCCTCATGCCATTCCAGACTCACAAGATATTTTCATCAAACCTGAGCGATTTCTGCCACTTCATTGAAAGTCAATTCCACCAAAACCTGGACTCTTCTAAATAAATACATTGTAAAAGTAAGAATCAAGCAGATTAAGTCTTCTGAAGAGGCATGTTTATTTTATAAGAGGAACCAATTTAATTAGCTTTTATTTACACAGAGCTCATCAAATATGGTAAAGGGAAGCATAATAGTAATACAACCTCATTAGTTCTTGGATGTTGGGCAAGCATGTTTGAGCTTCTGTTTGCCATTTTGAATGTGCTTTGACTTCTACCAGTCTCCTTGTGAACTTTGAAGCGGCAAAGTTTTGGTGAAATTGACTTTTTAATGGAGGGACAGAAATCTTTCAGGATTCATTAGATATATCTCTATTAATGTCTAAAAGACTAATAAAAGCCATATGGGTTTGGGACAGTATGAGGATGAGGAAATGATTTTTGGGTGAACTGTCCCTTTAAATTGATTGTATTGGTGAAATGAGCTATTAGTAGTCAGCCGTGATTTGTTGCACGATCGAAAGCCTCCAGTGTCAATGGTAAATTAGTAAAGTCGTATTCAGAATTTTTTTTAGAATTTTACTTCATTAATTAAAAAATAAAAAATAAAAAAAAAATTTATGGACATCATAGTATTCCCAAGTAACAGAAAAAGTGAGTAGACATGTTGCAGATCCACATTAGACGGTCTTGTTCATTAATTTACTGAACTTGTAAACACTGACTAGTGGTTCAGACACTGTGCTGTTCTGGAGAATGTTTCCTGGTTAACAACATCTGCTGTGGAAAACTGGAACAATCTTTAAATGGCAAGACTTTTCTTATCAGATGACTCAGTCTGTCTCTCTCTCTCTCTTTGTCTCTTTCTCTCTCGGTTGCTCTCTCAGGACGGGTTTGTCATACCAGACGCTGAGTCAGAGGACCAGGAGGAGTTCTAATGCATGTGATTCGTTGCAGTTTTACCCTCCTCTCACCTTTTTCATTCCTGTCCTCTCCGCACAGTCACTTCCCCGCCATCCACACATCATATTATGCATTTGGTCTTTTCCGAACAAACTTCATACTGAATCCCATTGCATCTGCAAAAGCATGCACAGACACACTTAATGTTGAAAGAACTGTTTTAATGCCCTCAGACCTCTGGCTGCCACGATACTCCTGTTTCTCTTAGAGGAATAGTGTGTTTCCTGTCTGTAATATACGATCTAATATTGCTTTCCTCTTTCAGCAACTTCAGACACCTGCAAATGTATTTATCTTATTTGAAATGTCTCTGAAACGTCTTGGACACATCCTCTGTAGTGATTTATAGGTGGCGTCTCCCCCCTCACTGCTGTGGTACATATCGCGTCTTATTCAGAACCATACCTTACTGACACAAAACCGAGGGACGGAATGACAAACGTGCATTAGTTCATTGCAAAAACCCTCTCACTTCCTAGTTTCCATTTATGGTTTTGGTGCTTGCTTTAGCATGAGGCAGGTAGCAGTCACCACCGCTCCAGTCTATCCTCAGTGACTGTGCCTTATACAGACTGTCTGGAGGGAGTGGACCCAGTCTGACGTTTGTCTTTTCTTTGTTTTATGGATGTTGTGAAGTGTCGTTTTCGAGTCGACGCCTGTACTAACACTCAGTCGTGCGCTTTGGCCTACAGGATGCTGATGTACTGTGGTGTCACGGTTGCACGGGTTTAAATATTTTTATTATAATTTTATTGCTTTCATTTTAAATAATTATTTGTATGAAGTTAGTAGCCACTACGTTGGTGGACTCAGCCAAAATTTGAGTTGACACGACAAACACTGCCCATTTTCTAGCTGTTTTTACTGCCTTATATTTAATGCGTTTTTCTGTCCTTTCATTCGCACTGTCTCTTGGTAGATGTTTGTAATTCAAGTTATTAAAGTTTTACATTAAAAAATTTGTTTCTTTTAATTATTCTTTGTAGAAGTAGTAGTAGCAGCAGCAGAATATTGTTACTTTCAGACAAATCTTTTAAATACACAAGATGTGAACATGAAATCTTTTGAGTTATTTTAAAATATTGCACTCTTTCAAGACCATTCCCCAAACTACATTTGCTTTTTAGATGAACGTTTTACTTCTCGCTCATTTTCTAAAAGCCTGAGTTCTGAATTTGATCTATACGAGTTACCTTTTCAGGCAATGCTTGCTCAATTCATTTGTCATTTTTAGGAGATTCAGCATGATTCTGACTTTAGATCACTGTGCCAGCTCTGACTTTCTCCGACGTGTAGCTTCATTGTTTTCATGTGCACTGGTCATTCTCAAAACAATATGAATTTTTCTGTGTGTAGTTCTCAATGTTGCATTTGACATCAATAGCACATGCAAAACCGGCAATCAGAGTTGTTATTGGTGCTATAAATACTTTGACCCTTAAAAACTTGCCTGTTTGTGCAAGAAAAGCCCTTTTGCTGGATGCTTTGGTTCATTGGATTAGAAATATTTTTGCAGTTGGGCAAATATAACAGCGCTGGGTCTGTTCTAAATAGGAGACAATAGGAAAACAAGTGACACTCACATTTCTGGGCTTGCATTGACAAATATCCCATTGTAATTTCACACAAGCCGAACTGCTAAATATTGGCACAAGGTGGATGCAAGTAAAAATGTGGAAGGAAGTAGTTTGGAAGCAGGTGATGTCTGTTAAAGGCAGTGATTGACCTTTCCTACCTTCCTTTCAATGCTCTGTGGCCTTTAAGAACAATCTGTAGCGAAGGTACTCAGTACATTGTGGGCCCTCTCCCTGTTTTTGTACTTGCAGGCTGTTAAGAGTTCCACATTTTTAACTGAAGTCCATTTCTTACAATAAAACAGTATTTACACGTCTTTCTGTTGGTGTCTTCATTTCTGGTGATTACAGTTGTCCACATTTCTGAACAATAGTAAAGTCATCAAAACTGGAATGATTCATGTATGTCAGAAAAAAATATAAAAGAAATCATTTTAAATAATACTTGAGTCTGTACACTGGACATGTTGCTTTTCCCTTTATAACTTGGTTAAATGCTCTACTGTTTTCATATTATTGATGAAATCGCTGATTCATTGTTCTTGTTGAGCCCTATACAGGCTAGGAAACATATGACCACTAGGAAGCAGTAGTGATCAATGCTTACTCTCTCAACTGTAATAACTGTGGGACCAAGCGTGTGTTTCACACACCTCTGAAACAGATGTGCCTCTGTCTGAAAGCACATGTTTGTTCTGCAGGAATGCTGAAATTTAGCTGCTATACTACAATACAGCTTGGAAGAACTTACTTGTGTCACTTCCTGTTCCTATATGTCATACGAGGATAAATGACACGGTAAAACTTGCTTTTTACTTTTAATATTTAATCCATGTTTTGCACCATGACACTTTCTCCTTAATATCATATACAATGAGATCCAAAAGTCTGATAGCACATGAAAATCTGAGATTGCAGTTCTGATTTCTATCTGGAAATAATATTTTAGGGGGACATACTAAATGCTAAGAGTTACGTTTCAAATTTTTCTTTTTTTAAATGAGAAAAATAAGCAAAATAAGATCATTTTAACTTGTGCTTTCAGACTTTTGTACACATTTACTTGGGTAATAATAAACATGTTTTATTTAAAACAACCTCAAATCTATATTAATTAAGGATGCACGATATATCGGCCACCATATCGGTATCGGCCGATAAATGCTCATTTTTTTCTGTTATCGGTATCGGCCTGATAAGAAAATTTGGCCGATATCTTAAAGCCGATAAATAATGCATTATTTCCTTCAGAGACACTTCAGATGCGCGCTGTTCGTTTGCAGCCTTTTGTGCAATTGTACGTTGTAATATTGTGTTTATTTGATGTATATCTGATTTATCTCATATAGAATGCGTTTGGTTAAGTTAAAAGAGCACTTCAGTTTACCGGTGATCGTCTTTAGCTCAGCGCACGCAGCTCAAACAGCAGTGCACAACATTAATAACTATGAGTGGGAATGTCGTGTATATAACATTCTAATGAGAACATTATTATAATAAAACGTTGTGAATTCTTTGGGTTTAGTTGCCGTGTTTCAGCGCGTTGTTATGGGAAGAGCGCATCCACAACAGGATCACACATTCTGACTATAGCATGCAATAACTGCGTCATTTGTCATTTCATATATAAGTTGTAATATTATGTTTATGTTGTATTAATATTAATCTCAGGATGCATTTCCTTGAGTTAAATAAGCTGCCAGCAAAACGCTTCAGTTTACCGTGTTCATTCAGCTCTTCAGCTTCAGCTTGAGCTGCAGCTCAATGGCTGCTATTTAAAACAGTGGTATTAATTTGTTACTTTTTCAAAATCATTGATATATTATTAATAACAACAACCACTTGTATTTTTCTCTTATTATTTTCATCAACAATATGGTTTAGTCATTAAAATCATTTAATTATTGTCCGTGCAGAGGCTATTCCGTTTTATTGATCTGTGGCGCATTCATTTTGATTCTTTACATGTGTAATGATGTCCAGTGACTTGTTTGCATTATTTATGCATAATTTTATTTATTTGTAAGGCTTTTTTATGACTAAATTTGGTAATGGGAGAGTAAAAATATTTTTAAAACGTACACCGTTCAAACTAGGCTGCTTATGTTGAAGTGTTTGGGATGTGGCTTTTAATGATGAGACCTTTTTTGTAATCAGGCTCTCAAAAAGTATATAACAATTTGGATATAGATTTATCGGCCAACATATCGGTTATCGGCTTTCAAAAATTAAGAGTTATCGTATCGGCCAAAATTTTCATATCGGTGCATCCCTAATATTAATGTGTAACTTGTCATATGATCTCAAATAAAACTATAAACAACTACGCTCAAATGGCAAACAACTGTAAAATTAATTCCTGAGGTACTGAACTTACAGGTGTTTTGTTTTTGTTACACACTTTGCTTTACAATTTACTTTAATAAGAAAATCTGCTATGTCTAGTTTTTATACATTTAGGGCTATTTCTAAGATTGCTTCCTTTTTAAGGAAAAGATTACTTTTAATACAAAGTACAATTCAGTGTTACTTTATTATTATTTGTGTACTTATACATTATTTTATGTGCATATTTTCAGGTTTGAATTTTTACTGGTTAGCATTAGTTTTTTTTTTTTTTTTTAGTTTTAGTATTTTATTTATATGCCAAGACAATATTTCTAATTTTCATTTATCATTTTAATTTTTCATCTAATATTTATATTTTATATTATTTCAGCTTTATATAAATGTAAAAATATTTTCAATGGTTTTAGTAAATAGCAACATAGGTGCAATGTGTAAAATGTTACATTCACTCAGTTGTGTTTTTGGCTATACTGTGACTTTACCTTGAGCACAGTTTTGACAGAGTGTCTGTATTTTTACTGTATATTTAACACCCTTGTATGTGTGACAGCTGTTGTATGTGATTTCACCTGCTGCAGTCATTGTCCTGTTCAGTTGAGTCTCTGTCTCTCACTTCTGTTACACAGCTGCTGACAGTCTGTTGTTTATCAGAAAGACATGCTGTTATTTTCAAACACTTTGGGTTTTCTGTCTCCCATCTTTCTTACTTGTCTGTCAGTGCTTTGTCCGAGCCACTGGACACAGCTTTTCTTAGAGAGCTTATTTATCTCCCTTCAATTACAGAGGTCTCAAAACGCCTGTGGCCTTTCCTCAAAAAGACAGAAAGATCTTAAACTTGCAATGAGGTGATGACTGGACTCATGTAGTGGAGACTAACCGGTCAGTTTATACTTTCATTTCTGAATTATATCCTAGTATGCAGGATTGCAATTAGTGCATCCCAAGTAATAGTACGTTTAAAATAGTGTTCCAAAGGTCACCAGATGATTTATTATTATGATGCATTTGCATCTTTATAAAATTGCTACATTTTTTGATATCTCAAAATTTCACTTTGTTAAACTTGAACACAATTATAGTTTAGTTTAGTTTCTTATAGAGCACATACTGCCACGTGAGCAGCCCAAAGTGTTGTACAGTACAATCAAAAAACCAGACAAAGACACTAACAAAACACAGCATCATAAAACCTAAAAAACATAATACAGAATGTTATTCGTCCTTTGGTGTGAAGGTGCTAATATCTTGTTAATCAATACGTTTCCGTTGGTTAATGCATTAATAATATTAACAGATACAACTTTTGACTGATAATATATTAATAAATGGTGACATTAACATCAACTATGATTAATTAATAATGCTTTAGAAGTATTTTTCTAATGTAGTTAATGTTAACAAATGGAACCTCATTGTAAAGTGTCATTATTATCCTTGGTTTAAAGAGGCCTTCTTTTTCTTTTCTTTTTTTCTTCACCATGTTACCACTGTAAGAATTTGTGGTACAGATCATCAATAGCTCCAGTGAGAGAGCAGGGTGAAGGGGGTGAAAAGAGTTTGCCTTTTTTATTCTGCCTAATTAATTTATGCGTTACACCACTAACAAAAGACTCGCCCTCCTTCCTCTCAAACACCAAAGAGCTGCAACCATTGTAGCCATCTAAGTAGAGCCCTTCGACATTATCATCTTGTTTCTGAAAAAAACTAAACAATCACTCGCTAATGCTAATCACTTTGTTAGGTGTGCGCATGCTAGTGGAAATCCGTGTCTCGTTTATCACATGTCTGTTGCGTGTGCATGTTCTTTGTAAGATATATACTCTCTCATCATCATAAGGGCTGGCTGAAATGCTTCACCGCTCACTTAGCAAGACCTCCGGCCCTTTGTTCCTTATCCACAGTTAGCGCTCTGGTTTTCTCCTTTCATGCAGACTGAACTTCAAAGCATGTGATCTCAACAAAACTGGGGGAAGAGCAAGATGAACCACTGTTTTGTTAAATCGGTTGTTGAAGGGAGTGTGAAAGATGCTTCAAACCTGTATGAACTTGCCATCCAGTCAGACGTGACGCTCACATGCTAACACAATAACCTCTCTGGGAGAGATGCCAGTCCAATAAAACTAGATATGAACTATATGCCTGTAGGCCATACATATCATTGGTGCAAGCTATTCGCTCTTTGCTAAAAATACATATTTGTGGAAAGGCTTAGGCTCTGGAGAGACTTATCTAGTACCCATCATGCCTGTTTGACTCAGGGATTAGGATTTAAACTCTATGTGCTTCAACTGGAGCCAGGTTTGTTGGTGAAACTTTAATGCCGCACTCCTCACTCGTGTCTTTGCTAGGGGCTATATAATCGGAGGTCCTGTCTTTTGCTATTTCCTTTAATATGAGTTTGGTTTCAAGAGGATTTTTCTGCTCTTTATTGTTCGTGCTGCAGGATGCTGGTGGATGTTTAGCACAGGATATCTGTCTCTTTCTCTGTGTTAATGCGGAGGTGTTGAGATCCTGCTGTAATTATTAACGTGTGGATTGAGGGGCCTGGCACGTCGTGCAAGAGGTGTGTTTGTGAAGGGGGAAGCACAAACATTGAGTGTGCTTTTGTCTCTTTCACATCAACATGCTCCTCACTATCTCATAATCTATTAGTGGTGTTTGTTAAAACTCACACATATAAAAAAAAAAAACAGCTGAAAAAATCTCATAGATTTAATAGAAATCAGAATATCATAGAGGCTTAGTGCTGGGCTCTTTTATGGAAGCCCATTTCCACTAGAGTAAAAAGAATACAAGTTCTAGATTTAAATATATACAGTAATTAAATGTAAAGCATAGTTATGAATATATTCTGTAATGAAAATGATATAAAATACCATAATTAATCATATAATATAATGATATATTAATATAATATGACTATATATCAAATTTGCACCTATTTCTCATATTTAAGACTCTATATCTCCCAATTCTCGTGTTTGCAACTTTATCTGGTAGTGACTTCATATCTTAATTACAACTATTTCTCACAGCTGAGACTATTTCTCATAATAATGAAGACAATTATGAGAAATGAAATCCCATTATTATATCACATTATTATTATGAGAAATAAAATCACATTATATAATGTTATATTTATTGAAACTTTATATCGCGAAAGTAGTAAAGCAATATCTCAATTGTGTTGTGACTTTCTTCTTATCTCGTCATATCTCATAATTGTCTTCATATCTGCAACTTTATATCCCATTGACTTATCTCAATATGGCTATTTTTCACAGTTGTGACTTTCTAATAATTGCCTTCATATCTCTCATAATTGCAACTGTATATCATAAATAAGTGACTATATCTCAATTACGACTTTGTCAACATTGTGACTTTTCTCATAATTGTATTTGTCTCATAATTGCAACTTTATATCTCATATTAGTATCTAAGTAATTATGACTATTTCTCACAGTTGTGACTTTCTCGTAAATGTGACTTCATCTTGTAATTACAACTTTAATTTTTATAATTAAGACTTTATATCTCACAATGTGACTTTATATCTCATAAATATTATTTTATTTCTTATAAACTTTAGCTCACAGTTGCTGGTTTTATTTTTCACTCAAAGGCAAAAATGTCCTTTCCTATTCTTTTGATTTGGGCCTACAAAGAACACACACAATAAAGAGTTTTGCATGGTCAAGAATCACTCACAGTTTTATTTTCACCATCTCTCATGTGCACACAAGCATTGACTCGGCTCGTCCTGAACAGTCCAGCTTGGACAGGTGAAAAAGAGCTCAGAACCACATCACAGTTAAGATCAGGCCTGTCTGGTCACGTCTGTGTTTGAAGTATATGAAGATGCCACATCAGAACTGTGTTTTAGACACACCACAGCTTTCTCTGAACTTATCAAACAATCTCACTGACACTCAACAGATTATCTGAAAGAAAAGATATGTGACTGGAACATGTTCATCTTGTAAAAAAAGAACAACCCTCGTTTAGTCACTGACCTGCGCTGAGTCTGTAAAGGTGTAACGGGGCGTTTCCACATCATTCTCACTCTTTAAAAGAAATCCCTGGCAACCAGGAGGTCACTAAGGCCTCGGTCAAGAAGACTAGAGACTAATACACTGACACAGAACCTTCGAACAAAAAGAAGCAAACCCCCCCTCTCTCTTTCATCTCTTGTCTTGCGAGTTGACTCTCTTGTCCGTAAAGGAAGTATGTGACAGCTGGATGGCATTTCCTTCATCCTTCTGTTGTGAGATTTGTCTCTCTTCTTTCAGTTTGGTCTGCCACGTGGAATGTGTTCTTGTTTGGAAGTGAATGAGAGTTGGGTTGCATTAGCAGGAGGACTGTAGACTTCCAAAGTCAAACCCCAGCCAGTTTGTTGAGATACTCTCCCCTGAGAGCAAAGTTCAGAGGTCAACATGTGTAGGACAGATGAAAATATTAGTGTGTGAGCCTTGAGCTTCATTCATTAAAAGTGACACGAATCAGCAGGGGAGTTCAGAACAAGGCATGTTTGTCTGTTTTTGTCAATGGAGAGCTACTAAATGTCTTCAGAAATCTGGTTGCAATCTTATCCTTACAGTTTGACAGCCACTCGTTGCTGGCTAATTTGATTGCATGTTAAAGATCGGCCTGGAAATCCCGCCTTTTCATGTTCCACAGAAAAAAATAAAGTCATATGAGTCTGAAATGACATGAGGACGATTAAATGATGACAGTTTTCATTTTGACCAAAATATTACATAGCTTATTATTCTGCAGCAAATAAAGATAAACTTGCTGGACTGTATATGAGTGTGAATAATTGTGTGTGTGTGTGTGTGTGTGTGTTTTATGACTCGTAGTCAGAGGGGCGCCTCTGCTGGACTGCATTTCAGGTGGCCAAAATGATTGGTGAAGAAAACACCTGCTCCTCTCCTCCCTCTGTCCCTTCTCTCTCACTTTGTTCTCTGGAGCGCTGCCATTTAATTAAACATCAGGTTCTGCAGACTGTAAAAGGAAAGCCTGAGTCTCTCTATGAGGTGTGGAGGAATGTGAACGAGCTCTAGTGGGAAATCTCGGTGTTAGATGGTGTATACTGCACACTCTGATGGGTTGCTGCTCACTATGACAAATGTTACTGGTCTGTTGTAACCTTTGATTTATACTGCACTGACTGGAAACTTTTTAACCGTTGCAAAAGCATGTATTGTGTTGCAATAAAATATCCTTTTAAAGTATCAGCATAGGCTCTGAGAGTTTTTTAAGCACAGAAATTAAGATTACGCCCAACAGTGTTTCATCTAGTACAGTAAGCCTATATTATTGAAACAAACAAGATGATCTTTCTATTAGCTGAGCTATTTGTAACACCACAAAAAAAATCCTTCCAAAAACTGGTAAAATATTTGGGATTTATGTTCACTCTATTGAGTTGAATTACTGAAATAAATGAACTTTTCCACAACATTCTAATTTATTGAGATGCACCTGTATATATTCAAAATAATGGTGAAATACACAATACTGATTATGTAGTTACCAGAGTTTAGTTGTTGTAGTTCTGACATCTACCAGCAGGGGTTAACAGGGTTACACTAACCAGAAATTTCTTGATCTCTTGGATTATGGTATTACCTAAGAATACCACCACCAGTCAAATCTCATATTTTTATGTGCAACATAACGAAAAGTTAAGTGTTATAAAAAGGGCCAGTTGCGGCCCTTGGTGGTAATTAGTCAATAGCTGCAGACCGCTTCGACAAACACTGCCCAAACAGATCTGTGGCCGGTGCATTAACTGCTTAGACTAGTCTTAAAAGTTAGACACCTATTTTTTTCTGCTAGACTTGTCATAACTTAAAAAAAACTGAAAAGTAAGACTGATAACCACTTGGTTAACTGCTAGTTAGTCAAACTAGTTCTTAAGACACAGTCTTAACTGGTGACTATGTTAATGCAACTGGCCCCTGTATTACCTAGCAACCACACTTAGCAACATAAATGTTTTTTTTTCATTAATGTTTATTTCTAATATTCGTATTCTTGTTGCATTTGTATCAGTATACTGTCAAAACTGTTTCACGCATTGTGTAGATTTTTAATTAGGCCTAACTGTTTCATTCACCTTTAATTTTAAGGCCTCGCCCCTCCCCCGACAAAAACGTCTTGCATTGTTTGTGTGGAAGCTCACATTTGCCGAAATATTATTTAAAACTTTCAGGTATTAGTACTGTACATTATGCTGTGAATCGTTCTGGTTTAAACTAAAAGGCGGCGGAAAACATATGTAGCCTACGTGTGAGGAAATATCATATACTGTGTTGAAAAGACAGTGCACACATACAGAATACATATTTTGCCTTTAGTATACTAAGTGGTATCCATTTGTAATACGGTAGACTACTCGAGTCAAGGCTATATTAATATTAATATTCTACACTAATAATAATAATATGGCTGTGACCGGATGAGAATCAATTCAGAGTTTCTTTGGCTCACTGAAAAGAATCGACTCGGTTATTCATGAATCATACATCACCTCTCTCATGAACTCACGTATAAAGATATAAAGTCTTTTCCTGACACAAAGTTATCTACTGTCTTTAGAAAATGAGTCGTGTAGGCCACATTTATAATACTTTTATGGTGTTACTGCATCCATTGATTTAAAAGAGACATTAAAAAGTATAATTTTTTGTCATACGGAACAACATGGGTGGATAAATGACTGTATTTGTATCTTTTGTTTTATAAATGCGAAGGAGTGGGGTCCCCAGCAATGATTATTCATTGGGTCCCGCAGTGTGTGAGAGAGAGACAGGACTGCACATGCACTGCACTGCCCTCTCTCAACACACACACACACACACACTGCACTGCCCT